CATATGTTATCTCTCTAAGGTATTTTAAGGCTTTCTATATATTTTTAGAAACTGTTGTATGTACCATACATCATAAGTTGCTTTATCACATTTAAGAGCTGACATAAAAAACGCTATCCTAAAATGCTTATCAAATTGTGGTCATCATTAAGAAGAATGGGAAAAATTGTGAACTTTTAATAATAGTGGATACGAAGACTATAGAAAGATTTTGTTCGATGTCTATGTGTAGTGCGGCAAACTCGATTAGATAAAAATCGGTTTGTTCTTATAGACAAATTAGAGTAAACTGATCTATCACCTAAGGTGGTAGCTATTGAAAAGCGTTTATTTTTTTACCAATATGTGCGTAGTGCGATTCAAAAGCAACAACAATTTTCGGTATCATGGACAATTTCTTATACGTCGAGCTGACCGTTTTACGCTCATTGCGCGACCTATTTCTTATATCTCCAATTAATACATCTAATCAATTTTTTGTTTACGTGGGACAATGTTCTGGGTTTTCCTGGGCTTTGTTCGTCTTTAGAAATTAAATAAACAACACTTCCGTTAGACTTACGTTAAGCAGACTTACTTATTACTTATCGTAGAGTTTGCATGAAATCGTATCCTGAAAAGGCATCCTTCTAAAGGCAGACTCCAGTGCGTGCATTGCATTGAAAATTTTGAAATAATATAAAATGTATGATCATGCTATGCGAAAAGAACCAATTTATGAAGCGTACAAACGGTTCCTGAACCGTGGTAAGATCCACTGTCAAAGACAATGCGAGTTCTTGACAATCTAGCACTGAAGAAAATTTATGGAAATGAAAGAAATTGAGGTGCACGGTAGAAGGACATGTAGGCTGAACTAAAAAAATTATTGCAGTTTTTAAGACTTAAGTATGGTAAAAGGCAATAATCAATAGCAATATATGGACGAAATCACATACGAGTTTTACCTTTGTTAATGCTCAACATCGCACAAAGATTGCGGAATGTGAAGTGACTGAATTTGCGCTACGCTTTCGATAGCTTATAAAATGGAAATTTCAAACTGTGATGTGCGCTGTGTTGCTATGTCGTGATCTCACATTAATCTTGCAAGAAGCGTACGCTTACATAACCTGTTATGCCGGACGATTGTCGTATTTCCGATGATGCATATTTACTTTACCTTCGCTATGCACTCACTTAAAGCGAAGAAAAATAGGTAAATAGTAGTCACTTAAATGTTCCCCATTTTCTTTACATCATGTTCCTCTACCCACCACTGTAAGGTGGGAGTATACGCATTTTGGTCTTTTCCATAATGTATGTAACACCCAAAAGGAAGCTTCAGAGACTATAAAGTATATATATTCTTGATTAGCGTGAAATTCTGAATCGATTTAGCCATGTCTGTCCGTCTGTATGCTTGTGTGGCGTGTATTGTTGGGACTCTCCATTTAAAAGTTTCTCCACGCAAGTTGATATTGGAAATGGGCCAAATTGGGCAGAGCGGAAGCGCGCAGTGAAGCGTAAACTGAACGCAACTCTATTTTATCTAACAAAAATTTTTCGATTTTTACGCGTTACTCGGAAATTATAAAAGTTAGAAGACTGAAATTTTCCATATTTACTTTACGAAGCACATTTTTGCAGGTAAGTGCAAAAATAGAAAATATTCGCAATGTTCACACGATTATTTCTAATGTTATAGTTAAATTTTATTATTTCACCCTTTCGAGGTTTTATGCTTATATATCATAAGGCAAACAAGATGGAATACTTAAAACTATTTTATACACTCCTCAAATGAAGATATATTATCTGTATAAAAATGGGTTAATTCTAAAATAAATATGGTAGACACCGCGATTACTTTTTTCTTAATAACACAAGCAATATGAGTGTCAAATAAAAGAATTTGGAGAGTAGAATGCGAAAAGTATAGTGGTGGGGTGTGTGAGATTCGGCTCCTGTTGAATGTAATTTTCTTGTTTTTACTAGATTTAAAAATTTTTTTCTAACAGGGATAATAAATGAATTTTGGAATTAAATAAAAAAAAAAAAAAAACTCCTTTGCAAACATATATATGGGTTACATTGAGGATAAAAAAAATATATTAAATCTATAGAATTTAAAGAATGATTATAACGCATAAACGAAAGGGAAATCAAATCTTCCACCCAATGAAAATAGGTTGCTTCTGTTATCCTTACCGTCACTGGAAAAACGTAGATTTGTTCTTGGGGTTTCCCTCGTAATCAAAATAATAAATGGTACAATTGACTCGCCTTCATTACTTCGTGAGATAAGCTTTAATGTCCCTAACCGCTTCTCTAGGCACTTTATCTTGATAAAGCTAAGTCAATGCAAATATAATTACGAACCGCTCAGAGTTGTTTACAAGAAACTAAATGACGTCTATCATTTATTCTCATTAACGGACTCTTCAAAGTCCATTAAAGCAAAATTGCTTAATACACGCGATTTACCTATATCGTACTTGAACTAACTTTTAACCTTAAAAAGTTATTATGAGTCGAAAGTTAATTGTTGTTAACTATTATCGGTTGCCAAGCTTATGCATGTTTGCGATGGCTTGGGGGTTCACTTGCAATTTGGTTCTGTACCGGTTGTGGGTGTGGCTCTATGTTAAGCTCTACTAAGTTTTAATATTAATTAATTTAAGATTTACTTTAAAAGTCAATTGAAGTCGACTGCCATAATGTTTTAGTTGAGTTTCTTGTATAAGTGGAATAAATAAATAAACAAATAAATAAAAAATAAAAAATTCTAGCTCAATTACATTACAACAACCTCCCCAAACCTTTAGCCGGTGTGTTTAGAAAAGTCACTAATCTCTTGTGCCTGTAGACCATGAGATACAAAAGGTGTGATTTTTCACATTCTCGAAATGGCGAACGCATAGAACAATTTTGACTAAAAACTTTGAATGCACTTGAATCCCGATCAGCGAATATGTGGAATACGGTGAATGTATCTACCTACTAATGTTTTACTTTTTGCTTCTTCATATATTAACATTATGAGATTTGTTTGCTCACAGTTCAAATTAGACGCGCAATTTAAAATGACACCACTGGTTAATAAATCCGACTATTTCGAAGTATTTAGCATTAAAGAAGTACATGCCTTATACCCGCCTTATTAATAAAATTGTTGCAACTGTTTGTATATACAATACAGTGGTCAATAAGTTCCGGGACTGAAGCGAGAGTCGACTCATTTTTGACATGGTCTCCTTTAAAAGTGGTACAATTGGTCCAATGCTTTTCTCCTATGCCTCTTTTTTACAATAACTTTGTTAAAACCCTCAAAATGGGCTGCAGCGTTCAACGTGAATGGATGGAAATTTTTTCTTTTGAAATTTGAAAGTAGGGAATAATCGCTGGGAGCCATCGAAACAGAGCAATATGATTACCGCAACAATTCAAACGTCAACTTCTGCAATTCTATCAATATTCCAAGCTCCATTCATTGAAAGTGGAGTAGATCAGAACACTTATTCGACCTACCCCCAGATAACGCCTAACAATAAAAAGCCGTTATATGAACACAAGAAAGAAATTTATATTCATTCGCAGGCGAAACTTTTATACCCATCGCCGTTATTTAAAAGAAATGTAAAAGAATTAAATATCAATACTCTATAATATAGACTGGGCGTGGATGACTTTTTTCAGCTTTAGTATGATAAAAGTGCAGATTTTTATGGCTGGCTTAGGGTCGCTTATGAGTAAATACAGAAGGAAAAATACAGAAAGAAAAAATGTTCCCACTTTTTGTTGCATTGTGGGCGTGTTTTTTGACCGGTTCGGATCACTTTCAAATTCTTTTGTAAATCTGTGGGCGGTAATCTGTGGGCGTGAGAGATTTGTTTCCGCGACGAGGAGATTGTTTCCAAAAGACAAACTGACAGACAGGCATACTTAAGTCGGTTCAGTATTTGATATTGTTCGAGGATATATACCTCGTAGAGTATCTGAAGCTTGCTTCTCGGCGTTGCAACGTTTACAATCCTTCTTTTAATGCATTTATTTTTAATTTATTGTTAATCAAATTTTAACATTACTCCATAAGTATCCGGTCTGACAAGCATATATCACAGACCCATATGTTTTCCGGACAGTAGCAGCCTTCAAACAAAATGGGTCAAAATTTAATGACATTCTGACCACTAATTTTCAAGTTTCACAAGTAATTATAATGGTTTTCAAGCATGATTTTTGTTTGATCACGCACACGATTGCATAAAGTCACATTTTTTCTTTTTATCTGGATCAGGACGTATAGTTAATTTATCTCGCAAAGGTGTTCAATTATTGACTTATCAGCACGCACTCAATGACTTAAAATTTCACGTGTGTGACTTACGTAATTTTGACCGCTCGCCAGTTTTGGCAAGAAATTTCGAAACTTGATTGATTGCAGTTTTCGACGTGAACAACGAAGGTTAGAAAGACGGTAAGATAAGTTCCACGACCTAAATCCGGAATGACAGTGAATTATCATAGAGTTGAGGCAACGTTAAAGGCGTTCGGTGAATTTTTATTTTTCAATAATGAACGTAAGTATAACGCATAAATGGTTCAGCAATATGAACTTGTCAATGTCAAGTAAGTAAAGCTCTTCGCAAAGCTAAAAAAGAGAGTGGAGAATAACGAAAAATTGTATGCGAGCCGTCTAAACGTACAACTACGAGCGCAAAAGTATTAAATGAAAAACCCTGGCTGGCAGTTTGTACCCATTTCTAAATGCATATGTTGGGTGTGCGTGCACGTCGTATATATGATGAAGTATATTATGATGCTTTGAGTTGTAAGCACGATAGCATGTCTTTCTCGCTGGGAAATGCACGAACGTATGTACGTACTTTCACTTGTACGTATATAGAGTCTTCATAGGTTTAATAAAGCGAAATGATAATTTTGATATACGTGTACGTAGCAGAGAAAATGAACTACTAGAGCTGAATGGCGTTGTTTAACTGTTTTGAATCACTTACCGATGATTGTAATGAGAATCATTAAACCGAGTATTACAGATGTGGCAGCCATTCTAATGAGCTCACTTAGATCTTCCGTTGTGGTTACATTACCTGTGCCATTATTTTCTGCAGTTAGGACGCTACCATTTGCAAACAGCGTGTTGTTTAGAATAGTATCATTAACGAGTAGCGATCCCAAACCGACAGTCAATCCGCTAAACATGTCATCACCGTTTATTAGAGAATCAGAGTTAATGGTATTGGAATTAATGTTATTGCTGCTGCCCATTAGGTTATTTGTGGCAGTGACTGAGGCAGCAGTTAAACGTGTTGTATTCGTTATACTGTCTTTGACTTCATTATAAAAGTCTTTCGATTTCGAGGTAATCAACGCCGATGAGATGATATATGTGTTGGGACTTTGATCATTAGCTATGTATATGTAATCTAAGGCATCTAAAAAGCAATAAAGTAGAAAAAGAAAGTAATTATGTATATATATATATATATATATATATATTCAAATATCATTCTGTTTGCCCTGTTCTTTTGCACACAAGACCGTTTACCTACCATCAAAAGTAGTTTTATGTGCCATATTATATGGTTCCGTTTCCTTTTAACGAGGACTTCAATTTCCGTTTTCTTTATTTCTTATAAAAATTATCTGTAAGGTTGCCGAGGAGAAAGCGTTGTGGTTGAAATACAAGTGCTTTTAGAAGGAGAAGATAGCAAAGATTTAGCTCACGCAACATGGCAGTTATAAATGAAGCTCGTGTGATGTTAACGGAAATCGCACAATTGCGATTACACGTGTATTGCGTCGTTGTATGTAATGAAACGACGCTGCCAATCTATCAGGGCTTCGCGTGAAGATAGTTGCGTCAATTAGGATCTACGATTTCAATGCGTTTTGCTGAGTAAGCGTAGAACGTTGCTTACTGTTTCTATCTCTCCCTTCCTCCTAACGAACTCACTCTGTCTCTTTCACTCACTCCCTTTTTCACTTCTTCAAAAATTAATGTTGATTTCCTATGTTTCAATGCCTTCTGATTGATTTTCCTTTTGCACTGGAAAATCGCTTTAATCTCGTCTAAGTTATTGTTATCGAGTTCTCAGCTACAATTCTCTTCCTCGTTGCTGTTATTGCTGCTGTTTGTGCTGCTGCTAACTTGGCTACTACTGCCTCCATCTCTTTAAAGATTTCAAGAGTTCTGCTTATCTTTTAACTTGAAATGTACGCAAATCTGGATGTTCGTGTACGGTTTTACAAGGGGCCTACCTGCCCCGCATATATATGATTTGATTAAAGCATCTGCAAATGTATGAAAAAAGTTGGAAAATCTAATTAGTTGCTGCGATGAGGTTATCGACTATTTTGAAATAATTTTGTACATAAATAGAAGAACAAGAATTTTGTACATAGTAGAAATAAAAATGATTACATATCATTTTGAAGATTTTTATACATTCTTTGAAAGAATTGCTTTTATTTCATTCTTGCTATTTATCGTATTATGAAATGGTATTATTTTTAGAATATAGTTTGAATTTGAATTTTTTTAATTTCAAACACTAATTTAAAACAAGTAATCCGCCTGAGTAGCCGAAGGCGAGGAATCTGGACTAGCAAGCCAATGGTCGTGGGTTCGAATCTCAAGTGCGGTTGACTTTTTAATGAAAGCCGATAGCCTTAGATGCTAGCGCTTTTAAGAGTTTAGTTTTAGAATTTATTTCTCTGGCTAAACTAATAATAATAATAATAATAATAAAACAAGTATTTGCGAAATAGAAACCGAATTCCAAATATAAGCCGCTGACAACAAGTGCTGACATAAGCTAGGAGAAAACTCGTAGATGCTTTGCATCGGTCTGTCCGTCTGATGTCTGCCCATGTAAACTCCTGTCCAAGCTACAGGTCACAATTTGTAAGATATTTTGATCAAATTGTATATATAGAAATATGTTTTGAATCGAGGATGAACACTATTGAAACGTTCCGAATTGGATCACTTTTTCGACGACTTCGTATGTCACATCTTATTTTGAAAAGTGGTTTAATGAACAATTGCGTTACATGAAGTGGTATACGGTTGTCCCTTCGCAATGCTTTTACTTGGTTTATATAAATTTAAAATTTGCTTTTTTTTCAATGATCTTAGGAGAAACAATTCTGGCACATAATTTCGTTACTTTTCTTTTGTCTTCTATGGGCGCAGGACAAAACTTTCCTTTTAAGATCTTATTATGCATTCTTTTTTAATTATGTACGAGAAGATTAAGAACAAGATTGATTTCAGTTAATTTTGTTATCAAGCTTGTCACCTGTAATCGGTAATAATTGTCGAACATTTATTTAGGCTGTCATCAATTCACTTGCATTGCCCGCAATCATATTGCTTTGGTATCTTTGGTTTAGGTGTTGCTCTTTGAATTTGTGGGAGAGGAAATTTGCAAGTGTGGTAATATGCTATGATATTCACATCTTGCTTTATATTAAAAGTAAGAGTGTTGTTGTTTTTAATAAAAAAGAACGTGGGAAAAGAATATTTCGACTTTTTAAGTAGGGAATTGCAAGTACGGGAGTAGGCGATTTTATTATTATCTTTTGGAAATAATTGTGTTGAAATTTGATTGGAATATATTCTGGGAAGATATGAATGATGAGGTGAACAAAGTGGAAAGATGATTCTTGGCGATTTGATGGTGGTCACTACCGTAGCTTTGATGCGGTAGCAGAGTTTACGAAAGATCATGAAGAGCTAAATAACGACCAGCGTTATAACTGACAATGCTATGTTTAGACACTTTAATTATGTTTTATTAAACATAATTACGTAAACATGAATATTCGAAAGAGAGACGAAATCTTTACGGAAACGATGAGTAAAAGCGAATGTGTGTATAGTCACATAGTAAGGAGCTTAACACTTCATTGCCTTAGATGTAATTTCATGCATGATAAATTATGCTGACAAAACGGTACGTAATTTATTAAAGGTTAGACCGAATCCAAATTGAAATTATTGTTAGTGTTGCAGCTGCGTTTGCGTTCATCCGACAGTTGACCCGAGTATAGAAACTTTTGAAAGTAGTGAACTTATTTCGTCTACGTATTTTACATTTAAGATGAAGTCCGTGTTTGTTTAAATAACTCCCTATATAAGGGAAATAATCTATTTGCAGTAAAGAAAACCTACCTGCGGTTCCTACACACTTTTACATCCTTAAAAATTAACTGTTAGGCGGGATTCATGATTCGAAAATGTCCTTTTCGAAAATGAAATTGCTATTAATTTCATTGGAAAATGCTAGAGAAACATTATTAGCGATTTTTTGTGGGATGAATTAGATGATTTTCACTTGGACGATATGAGGTTTCAACAAAATGGTTTAACATGCAATGCGTCCAATGACACAATCAATTTAGTGAGAACAAAATTGTAGGAGCAATTAGTCTTGACAAACGCTAATGCAAGTTTGCAGTGCGAACTGCATTAGACTTTTCCCTCGAATCGAATTTTTATACAGATTCAGGCCATTTACATAAAGTCATTTTTGCATAAAAAGATGGCATGAACTTGTGTTTTTATAAATACATACATACAGTATGTTTTTTATAAATAACATATTAATATAAGTTTGTTTAAAGTTTAAAAACTCTGAAATTGCTTCACCAATTGCTTTGAAATTTTATTACAACATTCAAAATGGGCTGGTTTTTCAAGTATCCGGTCCATATTAAAATTGTAGTGCACCCTTGATTTTGTTACTTAAATGCATTTGTAAGGCGATAAACCGTAAGAGATATTAATAAATTTGTTATTATAGCAAAGGCGAAGCAAAGCCGATCTTTATAATAATGCGATGCTTATATAAGATATGTTCGATCTTTTTTTCCTTTTCATGCTCTCTGTAAGCTGAACGTAGCCAAATGCAGTTAACCTAAAAAAAAAAATTTGATATATTAAACCGCTTTGTTTTTATTGCACATTTAAAATATTAACATAAAGCGATAAACTGTTTTGAAACATGTCACTATTATTCCCCTATCGCTATCTATCATATAAAAGACTAGCGTTCATGATCGTTTCTACAAGGTGTGTTGTATAGACAACAGACCTACATGATCGGCACTTAGGTCAGGAGGAGGGAAACAACTGAATGTATAACGCATATTCATATCACCTTTTTGTAGCCTTCTTTAAGCAAGAAATACTTTAAGTTGAAATAATTTCCTATCGTTTACAACAAGTGATAAGCAGTGCCGTTCGATTGATTTTTTTTATTATTTGTATTACGGGATATTACAATAACTGCTTATGCTAGCGATAAAACACATTGCCGTTAAACAAATATTACGTGCTTTAAAAATAGTTAACAAAAGTTGAACTCTTACCAAAGAATGTAGTGAGAACTCGAGGAATTACTCTAACGTGCGGTAATTAAAAAAAAAAAAAAAAAAAAAAAAAAAGAATGAAAAAAATGAAAGCATTCACACCTTTTTTACAGGATTTATATAGTTTTCTACACTTTATTTATGCTTCGGTTCCTTTTTATTGCAATTTGTTTTTGCCAGTATTACTAACATTCTTATGAACACCGACGTGTACTCGTAGGCATTTAAAAATTCGCGCCCTAGTCATAGTTTCGTGCATTTCATGCACCTTTTAAACCTTTATGTAAAGCAAGGCGCAAATAACGCATATGTATATGAAAACCTATACAATGTACTCATTATGTAATCGGTGAATCAAAGTATGTACCAGTGCATAAAACCTAATAAATTCACTTAAATGAGTTGAACTTTATGTTAATGTCAACAATATAAACTTAAAAATAGATGCATGCATAAATTTCTTTATATTTATGTAAATATGTGGTTATGTAAACACACACGTTACTTGTGTGTGTGCGATTCAGTATAATAGTAACCTTGCACCTCGTATGCCGCGTATTGTTAAATATATATGCATGTCAGCGACGTTTCAATTTAATACGAACGCTTAACTATGGTAATGCAAGGATTTTTTTGCTTCACAGCTTATGGAATTCGCAAAATTTTCAAAGGATGCACGCTTTTGCGTTAAGTGTCAGTTTTTCTGCTTCTGGTATTTCTCTAATGTTGGGCAGCAGCTATTATTATAGCAAGGATTACATTTTCGTTTGAATGATTATTGCTTCTGTTACAGTAGTGAAGTATTTATTTCAAAGGTCTTAAGGTGCCCCATTATCATATATGTAATTAACCATAACAGATAATGTATTGCACGAGCCAAACATCTCTAATATACGGATGCCTGAGTCAAGTTATTTAAGTTTTATAGTTTTCTTCCCGTCCTTCCCGTGAAAGAAGGATAACTGAAACCAGTTTTATGTACACTTTTTAATAGCCGTTATAAATCAAAAATTTATAGGATCTGTCTTTAAATGCCCACTTCATTAAAGGGCAGATGCGCAACACGGCAAATAAAGCTTTGACGCTCTTATTCTAGTTTAAACAATTGAAAGTACGATAGTTGGCCAAGGCAGATCCTTACATTCCCTACATCACTTCGTTACATCATCAACTACCGTGGTGAACTTCATTTACTTGCTAAAGATTTTATTATTTTTCAGTTATTTTCTTTGTATAAAACGTACCAAGAAGAGTTCGTTCGTATAGAAGGGTTCGTCGTTCGCGAGAATTGGTGGGTTCAAAAAAAATGCACCTATGTGTTAAAAATTCTACTTTTGGACGCTTTTCGCATGAAATTATCATTATGAACAAATTTTCATCAAGAAATACTGAAAATTAGTCCCGTTTACGTGTGTAAAGATTCACTTTCACTAGGAAGTATTTTTTTTCACATGCGATCAAAGTTACTCACAGCAATTTAGAATACCGAAGCCTACCGATTTTTGCTGCGCAATTCTGAAAATTACAATATTCTTTCAAATAAGGACGTTTCAAAATAAGGCGTTATATGGGCGGTGGTCGTAAAAGAGCTCCCATTATCAATAGGCTTTGTCCTTGGGCCAACATATGTCAGTGCACGGAATTTCATCAAAAGCTCTCAGATATTGCGACACATAGTTGAGCACGAATTTAACTGAGTTTATCTCCAGTCATTCTGGATGTTAGATACGTACGCATAAACCAAAATACCGTGCACTGCAATTGGTGCAGGGTACAAAACGGTCGAGTATGAATATCTGTTAACGTCTGTTCATAGGTATGCGCTGATAAGTGTTTAGTAATGTGCACTCCAAACTATATAAACATGTGTGCTTAAATGGCACTTGTTGCAGTAGACAAGTGGTCTGGGAATAAAT